CGCATGCTGCAAACACACACGGATCGCGTTTCAACCTCTGCAACTGCTTCATCTGCTTACCCCATTCAACAGCTGCAATCAGCTGACACGCACATCTTCCACTGAGGGATCTTCAGGGCCATGCCGGCTCTGCATTCCAATTGTCAGTGTGTCTCATCATTACAGCCCGCGCTCTTGGTATGCCTTGTGCAGCCTCAACACACACACAAAGAGAAAAACATCAGCCTCTGTCGACCATACGATGGATCGAATGTGCCAGTTGTTCTTTTCCTATCTTTGTGCATCCTCCGCTGTATGCCTGCGAACTTGTCAAGCTTTGTCACGTACCAGTTGCCCAAAGCATGCTCATGGTTACACTTACACGCATACACTTACAAACAAACACACACACACACCTGCTGCATTCACAAACAAACAGACTGCCTTTCGTCCTCAACTGCTTTATCTGCTCACCCCATTCAACAGCTGCAATCAGCTGACACGCGCATCTTCCACTGAGGGATCTTCAGGACCATGCTGGCTCTGGATTCCAATTGTCAGTGTGTCTCATCATTACAGCCCGCGCTGTTGGTGCCATGCGCAGCGAAACATCATCAGCCTCTGTCGACCATGCGATGGATCGAACGTGCCAGTTGTTGCCAGCTGTTCTTTTGTTATCCTGGTGCACCCTCCCCTCATATGCCTGCCAACTTGTCAAGCTTTGTGACATACCAGTTACCCAAAGCATGCTTGTAGTTACGCTTACACGCATACACATACAAACGCGCGCACACACACAGTGTCACACACGCACACACACGCATGCTGCAAACACACACGGATCGCGTTTCAACCTCTGCAACTGCTTCATCTGCTTACCCCATTCAACAGCTGCAATCAGCTGACACGCACATCTTCCACTGAGGGATCTTCAGGGCCATGCCGGCTCTGCATTCCAATTGTCAGTGTGTCTCATCATTACAGCCCGCGCTCTTGGTATGCCTTGTGCAGCCTCAACAAACACACAAAGAGAAAAACATCAGCCTCTGTCGACCATACGATGGCTCGAATGTGCCAGTTGTTCTTTTGCTATCTTTGTGCATCCTCCGCTGTATGCCTGCGAACTTGTCAAGCTTTGTCACGTACCAGTTGCCAAAAGCATGCTTATTGCTACACTTACACGCATACACTTACAAACGAACACACACACACACACACACGCACGCACCTGCTGCATTCACAAACAAACAGACTGCCTTTCGTCCTCAACTGCTTTATCTGCTCACCCCATTCAACAGCTGCAATCAGCTGACACGCACATCGTCCACTGAGGGATCTTCAGGACCATGCCGGCTCTGCATTCCAATTGTCAGTGTGTATCATTACAGCCCGCGCTGTTGGCATGCCATCCGCAGCGAAGCATCATCAGCCTCTGTCGACCATGCGATGGATCGAACGTGCCAGTTGTTGCCAGCTGTTCTTTTGTTATCCTGGTGCACCCTCCCCTCATATGCCTGCCAACTTGTCAAGCTTTGTGACATGCCAGTTGCCCAGAGCATGCTTGTAGTTACGCTTACACGCATACACATACAAACGCGCGCACACACACACACAGTTTCACACACACACACGCATGCTGCAAACACGCACGGATCGCGTTTCAACCTCTGCAACTGCTTCATCTGCTTACCCCATTCAACAGCTGCAATCAGCTGACACGCACATCTTCCACTGAGGGATCTTCAGGGCCATGCCGGCTCTGCATTCCAATTGTCAGTGTGTCTCATCATTACAGCCCGCGCTCTTGGTATGCCTTGTGCAGCCTCAACACACACACACACAAAAAGAAAAACATCAGCCTCTGTCGACCATACGATGGCTCGAATGTGCCAGTTGTTCTTTTGCTATCTTTGTGCATCCTCCGCTGTATGCCTGCGAACTTGTCAAGCTTTGTCACGTACCAGTTGCCAAAAGCATGCTCATTGCTACACTTACACGCATACACTTACAAACGAACACACACACACACACCTGCTGCATTCACAAACAAACAGACTGCCTTTCGTCCTCAACTGCTTTATCTGCTCACCCCATTCAACAGCTGCAATCAGCTGATACGCACATCGTCCACTGAGGGATCTTCAGGACCATGCCGGCTCTGCATTCCAATTGTCAGTGTGTCTCATCATTACAGCCCGCGCTGTTGGTGCCATGCGCAGCGAAACATCATCAGCCTCTGTCGACCATGCGATGGATCGAACGTGCCAGTTGTTGCCAGCTGTTCTTTTTGTTATCCTGGTGCACCCTCCCCTCATATGCCTGCCAACTTGTCAAGCTTTGTGACATAACAGTTACCCAAAGCATGCTTGTAGTTACGCTTACACGCATACACATACAAACGCGCGCACACACACAGTGTCACACACACACACACACACGCATGCTGCAAACACACACGGATCGCGTTTCAACCTCTGCAACTGCTTCATCTGCTTACCCCATTCAACAGCTGCAATCAGCTGACACGCACATCTTCCACTGAGGGATCTTCAGGGCCATGCCGGCTCTGCATTCCAATTGTCAGTGTGTCTCATCATTACAGCCCGCGCTCTTGGTATGCCTTGTGCAGCCTCAACACACACAAAGAGAAAAACATCAGCCTCTGTCGACCATACGATGGCTCGAATGTGCCAGTTGTTCTTTTGCTATCTTTGTGCATCCTCCGCTGTATGCCTGCGAACTTGTCAAGCTTTGTCACGTACCAGTTGCCCAAAGCATGCTCATTGCTACACTTACACGCATACACTTACAAACGAACACACACACACACACACACACACACACGCACACACACACACACCTGCTGCATTCACAAACAAACAGACTGCCTTTCGTCCTCAACTGCTTTATCTGCTCACCCCATTCAACAGCTGCAATCAGCTGACACGCACATCTTCCACTGAGGGATCTTCAGGACCATGCCGGCTCTGCATTCCAATTGTCAGTGTGTATCATTACAGCCCGCGCTGTTGGCATGCCATCCGCAGCGAAGCATCATCAGCCTCTGTCGACCATGCGATGGATCGAACGTGCCAGTTGTTGCCAGCTGTTCTTTTGTTATCCTGGTGCACCCTCCCCTCATATGCCTGCCAACTTGTCAAGCTTTGTGACATGCCAGTTGCCCAGAGCATGCTTGTAGTTGCGCTTACACGCATACACATACAAACGCGCGCACACACACACACAGTGTCACACACACACACACACACACGCATGCTGCAAACACGCACGGATCGAGTTTCAACCTCTTCAACTGCTTCAACCTCCACAAGTGATTCCATTTTTTCTGAACCCGTTTTACGGTAATTTATGCGGCCAAACAACGGGGCCCCTGACCTGCGTGACCCCCTATTCACAAGTAACCAAATCCGTTCGTAGGGAGGTCAATCTCGCCCATTTCGCAGGACAATGCACAGGATAATGCGTGAATCGCATTCAGTGCTGGATTTACTGCCAGTGGGGTGGTCTTCTGTGAGGTTGCTTCACAGCAGTTCAATTGTATCGTTTGGCACTCTCCGTGCTGGATGTGTGGCTTGCTCGGGATCAGAACAACACATGGCGTTTGTCTATTCAAGTCTATCCCAAGCCTGCGGTGACTTGTTTGGGTCCCGCCGCCGCAGCCAAGCATCAACGGTCCCACCCATGTTGGACACTCCTCCTCCAAAGAAAGCATGCTCAGTCGGCAAATGCGACAGCATGCAGTCAGCTGACACGCACATCTTCCACTGAGGGATCTTCAGGACCATGATGGCTCTGCATATGCATTGTCAGTGTCTCTCATCACTACTGCCAGCTGTCCACGTGCCCTTTCGACATGCTTTCTGTCAAGCTTCTCCAAACATCCGCTTCTCGAACGCTTGCTGTGTACGGAAGCATTGCGACCCCCCCTAGCCAACAATGCCGCCTGCTCAGCAAATCCGATAGCACACGCGCACACAGTTTTCACAGAGGGATTTTCAGGATTGGGCTCTCTGGCAGTCTCTGCATCCCTTTCGTTCGAGCATTTCGTGTCCAATTAGCCACACTCTCTACTGCGCAAACGCTCGCATTGACTTATCCTTTTTCTTCGCCTTTGTTCACGCTTGACGCTCGACTCAAGTGAAATCGAAGCTCCGACATGCCAACCTTGCCAGATCTTCAATTGGGGCAATTGCAACGAGGCAACGGGGGTGGGACTCGTTTGCAATGCCGTTGAACATGGCCAACCAGTTGGCATGTAACTCGGAACCGCAGTGAGTGCCTTCTCGGCCACGGCAACTGCTGGTGCATGGAGGCGAGCAAAGCAACACAAATCATGCCGAAAAATCTAAATGTTGAACGGATTTCATGCACAGGCGTGCCAATGTGATTAGCTTCGCGCAAATTGGTACGCTGGCCCTTGAGAACTCGTCAGCGTGAAGCCAACTTTGCATTCTCGCTTGACATTCTTCCCGAGCATGGAAGCAAACAAGGACGAGGCCGTGGTGGCAGCCACAATGAAACAACCAACAAAGAGTTGAACGCCTCCGCAGCATCAAATGTGCCGACCCACGTTGAACAGTATGCCATCAACGCGGTCTAGGGAAAAACCTAAGCCCGTGGGTCTTCTTGCCCCATGTTTCAGAGCCAGCGTCCAACTGAGATGTGATCCAAGGGCATGCCATTTCACCTTGCCAAACTACAGGCCAACTGGCACACCCCGGGCAAGCGATTTGGCAGGATCCAGGAGCAGCCTGATGTTATGATGTAATCGGCCAAGCAAATAGCCTCATGAGTAAACCACCCTACTCCCGGCCCCATGGTCGCAGTGCCCTCTTTACTGGTCCGCTCGACCAGTTGGGAAGAAACGATGCTGCGGTTTTTCACACAGCGTGTCGCATCGAACAGCCAATGCATCCGAAAAACGAAAGAGTTGAGTACCACATCATGCTTGTTTGACAGCGTTGTATTCGGCGCTACGCCAGGTGCAGTGCCCCAATGCATCAGAACTCATCAGCCCAGGATGGGTCGGGGTCAAGCCAGTCATCGTCACCTGATTTCAAATCTGAGCCCCCAAACATGACATACGCATCAGCCCTGCATGGCGCTTAACACTACCCTACGGGCATGTCACCACTGGGACAAGCATAGCCCGACGCCTGCGCGATCTTCCTCCGTCACGGTAAGACTTCCAGGCTCCACGTCCTTGGCACAAAAGATCATGCGTTTTCCCTTTCCAAAACCGCCTAAGGCCGTGCCTTGCCGGCTTCGGCATCTTCCGCATAAGTCTCGCCCTGCACACTTTCTCGACGCTTCAAGTAGGCATGGGCCATACGCACCATGCACCCGCCTTGGGAGTGAATGGCGGGTCCAGCTGCCGCGCCAGCAAGCCTTCCCATCCTTGAAGCACACAGGGCAGACACGGGAATGTGCGAGTTCGCATGGGCGATTTCTGCAGAACTCAGGGGCAGGCTGAAATTGTTGTAGAAGGGATGCTCCTATCGTGCATCCATCTTCGCAGATTCTACGTGACGCAGGTCTTCAGACCGCAGCTTGTGCGTAAGCGCCGAAGGCCCAGTCCTTGAGCTCCTCGTAGCCTCGCTGCCCGGCTCCAAGCCGCTTCAGAGGGTCCCGGCACCTAGGGGGTTAAGCTGAAGACGAATCGCGTGAATCCATTGGATTTGGTTCAGGCTGAATGGGTGCGAATGCCCAAGTGCCCTGCAGCAGGGCTTTCATTAGCTCTTTGGCATCCTGCGAATCGAATCAATCACAACAACTCCGTGAAAACGGAAGCACAGCAACCGCTGATTCATGGCCAACCCTCTTCAGCGATGCTTGGCCTTCTCGTGCACCCCCAGCCACTTGGGAAACTTCAGCGGCGCTTTGAGGACAGCTTTGAAGATCTGCGCGGGAGCAAGGGCAACGCAGCCCAAATGCTGCGAGGCTAGTCAGGCACTGGCTGAGTCGTTTGCAAGCCCTTGCCAAAACCGTCCGTCTCCACCCCCGAAAACACAAACTCACGTTGAATAGCCATGCCAATGCCATTCCAGTTTGGAGAGGATCAGAAACCCGAACATATCTTGCCGAATCAGTGCCCGAGAAAGCAGTTTCCAGCAGAAAATAATTACAATGGTGGCCGACTGTTGCTTTAATGTAAAGCCGTAAAGGGCAGAAACGAAGGAGCCAAAGGTCTGGAGTCTGGATTGAGGCCCAAAATGCGCCCAAAAGAAGCTTCTCCAAGTTCTGGTCAACCTTGAGAAGCGGGCTGCTTTTCATCGAGGGGTCGGCACTTGCGGCGTCGGCTTGGAAAGGCATCCAGCCTCTGCGTTGGTGGCTTGGTCATCCCCGAAGGGGAAGGATCCAACCATGAAGTCCTGGCCGGGCTCAATTCAAGATCCGCACCCCGCGAGCTACCGCCAAACAAGAACGGAGCAACCGTCATGTTTCGCGCCCTGCCCAGCTTCATGACATCTGCACTGTCAAGCAAGCGAGGCGCACAAAGAGACACACGCCAAGACTCCAAAGGTCGGCGGCGGTAGTGTAGCCTTGCAAAGAGCTTTCGCTGCTTGCGAGGGTGGCACACGCTTCAAGATTGCACAAGTCTGCTCGGTGCATGCAGCCAATGGCATTGGGCAAATATTCTCAACTGGCCCAGCCTTTGCCCAGGATGACCTGCAATCAGAATCAAGCCACCACAAAAACACAAGGGCCAGGCAGTCTTCTGACACTTGTGGCATCGATTCTGGCAAAGGCCTCTGGAGCCATGAAAAGAGGCGTGCCCTTCACCTGCAGCACACGCAGGGGACGCTTCATCGGCTTCTAGGCTTGGGACAGGCTGCCATGAGGTCTAAGCCGCAGACGGCGTATATGCGACCATCTGTTATCTGGCACGCAGCTGGATTTCACTACCAAACTCATACTGTAGCAAGTGAACATCTCTTTCTCACGTGTGCAAAGCAAGTGTGCCCGCGCACTTGGCACTTGACTGCACATGTGCCAACTTCCATGCACGGAAGGCCCTCTCGGCTACGCCGAAGTCAATGATCTTGAGATACCCGTGCTGGTCGATAAGGCAGTTCTCCCCTTGCTGTCGCAGCGTTGCCGTATATCAATGAAGGGCTTATCCACAATTCCCGCCTTTTAGATCCAAGTAAGCTATTCTGCGCTCGTGCAAGAACCTGAGGTCAATCTGACTGAGTGCATCTCGTATCAAGGCCTGGCTCCAGATGCTGAGGGCAAGGACTCTAAAGCAAGAATGATCGACGCCGAGTAGAACTGGGCCTTGCAGGATGCGACTGGGTAGCAAGCAGCAAGTTTTGCGTGTGTTGAGCTGCTAAGCTTGCCAGATCAAAGACAATACACCCAGCCTGTGGCGCCTGAAGCAAGCCTGTTCGCGTCAAGTATGCAGCTAGAACGCGCTGCCATGTCGGCTAACATATCACGACTCCTGCAAAAGCAGTGGCCCTGCCTAGGGCATCTAGCGCATCCAACAGCTCTCCGCCAGTAACCTTGGGCCAATGCAAACCAGTTACTCATGCAAATGGCACCTGGGCTGCGCATCCTGAACAGTGCCACCTCCGACATGCTCTTGCTCAGGCCAATTCCAATTCTGTGAGGAAGTAGACGTAGCGCGAGCCTGGGTTTGCATGTGCGTGTGTGTGTGTCGAGATAGGGAAACCCCGCAATGGATGGTTTCCCTTTTGGCGTCCCTCTGGAGCAGCCCTAGAAGGGCGTACTTCAAAAACACAACCCCGTTGTCTTCCGGTCTGAGTCCGTTTCATAGACCACATGAACCATCTGCGTCTTGGATGCAACCCCTCCTGCCTCCGGTGTCAATAGCTCTTTGAGGGTGGCATTAGGTGCCCGCACTGTTGAATGATCGCACAAACTTGATGATGAAGGGGTGGTCCTGCAATTCAGCGGCAAGTCACCCCGTCGTGCTTGTGACACGCAACTGCAAAGAGGAGCAACTCTCTAGGGATGGCCGGTCCAACTCCGCCAAAATATTTCTTTCGTGAGCAAGTGCTTTTTGCTGCTTTTGTTCCACCTTAGTGCACGCCCCCAGCAGCCCCTGTGTTGTGTGAGAGTAGCGAGGCAGGGAGCTGAGCTAGTGTGCCATTTGAATCCCAATGCCCCTTCATCTGGAAGTATGCCCTTCGAAGCAGCCTGCCCCCCAATACAGTAGCAGCTCTGTGTCTTTTTGGTCTGATGCGTCATTTAGTGACCTGACATCATCAAAATTTGGCATTGAAGCAGCACATCTTGCAACTTTGATCAGTATTGCACTGCTGTACATGTCAAGCCCTTGTCAACAAATTGGAGCAATGCAGAGAGTTGCCACTGAGCTTGAGCAATAAAGAGCATGCCCTTTTTCTTCAATCATATTCGGGCTTTCTCATGAAGCAAATGGTTCATGTGCGACATGAGGTGGCGGCAGCTTGCTTCTTGCTCACGCACTTCAAGGCGTACCTGCAAATCGCATCTTGACAACTGCTTCTACTGGGCAGGGCAGGGCCTTGTGCCGCTGGTTTTTGACTGCACCTGCCACCCCCACAAAGACAGCCACATCGAAGCATCACGGGTACAAAGTAACGAGGTGTGACACACAATGCCAAGTCTCAAGCCATTTTCACCACGCCAAATCCTCCTCGTCCAATGACCCGCAGGCAGGTCAAGGAACTTGGCTAGTTCTGATGCGCAACACCGGCCGCCCAATGCTGCACACCCATCTGCTTTCCCCCCACTGGCCGCGCAGTCAACCACTCGATGCTGCACCGTAGCTAACCTCAAGCCTGGGTTCCCGGCTCAAGGTCTACCTTGGTGTTCTGCAGTGCGATCCGTGCCTGCCAACTCAACGTCAGGGCTATGCGGCATACATTGAATGGACGCGCCGTCACTGCACACGCGGCTCACTCACGGAAGCTTGCCTTCATGTAATCGCGGATGGGTCCTTGAACTGCCTGGGCATGCAAGCAATGCTCAGCTTATTTGATCTTATTTGCGTAGATGCTAGCATAGCTAAGTTTGCGCGAGCATCGCTTTGGCCACATCCTAAGGCCTACCCAGGCCTCGTTGAAGTCGTTGTGCCCCATCATCCACAGCTCACTCTCCTGCAAAGAGCAGCTCACCAGTTCGCCGCGAAACCCGAGGCGCAAAGACCATTCTCCCGCAACGCTTCGCACGCTCCTCCACAACCTTCACTGTAGCACTTCGTGGCTCGGAGTACAGCAGGGCTCTTTCACCTGGCCGTTGCTGTGATCTGGACGATTGGTGGAGTTTGTAAGGCTATGGCCTACGTAGTCGCCCATGCCAAGGGTGCGGACCTTGCGGCCGCCAATGCTGACCTACAAGGCGCTGGGCATCACTGCGCACGTGCATTCTGGGCACACCTCCAGCAGACCAGTGTGAATGATGTAGAACTCCTGGCCACGGTCACCTGCCAGTCAAGCAGCTACGCATCTAGAATCTGGAGGCGTCGTGCAATAACAACGCGCCTTGGTTGAAAATGATGTCCCCCGGCTTTTTCACGACCACCTGTGGCCGCAGAAAGCCAGAGCAAGCAGCTAAGCCTACAAATGCTGCCCCAAACTGCCGCACTTTCCGTTGTTGGCTTGCAGGATTGAATGGCGCAGTATTGTTGGAGGAATGTGAAGACTCAAGCTAGCCTGCCCACAAAAAACAACACTCGTCATGAGTCATAATATCAAGGTAACTAGTTACAAACAAACATGTCTCTCTACCTGGGGGGGACAACTTGACGATCTTAGTGGCCGCTCTGCTATGGTGCCGGCGTTGGAATCAAACATATTGAAGGTATTACATGTTCAGAAATCTCAGGCAAGCCATTGATTCGCACACGTAACAGGTAAATTTGCTAGATGATCGAGCCAGGACAGCAGCAATTTCAATGCTCTTGTGTTTGCCAAGCATTGCTGGAAGACTTTGCGTAACACATTGGAGCAGCGCTCAAAACCCGTCGACTTCTAGTTCCCAGCATGAGCTTGCATCGGCCTTACCACCACCAACTAAAATGGACAATGGGAATCCGGCTTGGGGCGCTCATCTGCGATTTGATGGTTCGTTTCAGAACACCTTGGTCGACGGCCACTCACACGCACACCTGCACCCGTCTGGCCTCCAGCGCTTCTGCCAGTCGCTGCAGCTGGTCCGGTGCCAAGGTGCGGAAAACCACCACCTTCTTCAAAGCGCCCACCTGCCGTGCGGATTCCCAGCCCTGTCTTTGCCTCACCCTCTCTGCTCGTAGTTGCTTAACATGGCGCAAATCTAACGCCAACTGCCAATTCGTGCTACCAGAGCAACATGGCAGCCGTGTTCATGTTGCGCCTTGTCGTCGGACAGCACCGCTAGTCTCATAGAGGGCGACCGCGTACGGTTCTGACATAGGATGCGACAGCTCAATCAGCATGCGCAATCTTCCAGCTACACCCCACGTGCCAATCAGCCGTTCAGACTGTCCTCGCTGCTGCAGCTCATGGGCGAGATGTCTGGGCCTCAAGGCGCTAGCTTTGGATCCCAGCACCAATATCGAGGAGCGCGATGCACTGGAGATATGCTAGCAGCTGAGCGCTAGAGCTGGCGCTGAGCCTTCGCTTCCTGCGCACCACCTCCAAAAAGATGGCAACCGTTCTTCCTGCAGCATGCTCAGAGTGATGCAGCATTTGGCTTCAAGTTGCAATTTGAAGGTCCCAGCCTGACCAGACTGCTAGTCTTGCAGGCTTGGTCCTTGGCCAGCGGACAGGCCACGGATCTTATTGGCACAACTCATGCCAGGATCATGCCAGATGATAGCACATGCCAGCTGGCACACACACAAAGTGCGCGGCTCTTGCTCAGGAAGGCCGAGGACCAGCACCGGTGACCTGAGGTATCCAAACTGGACACGTCACGCCACCCACAAACGCTAAGGGCTTGGGCTTCTCCATCTCACAGTCGGCATCTTCTGGTATGAGAACTGCGCCTGCAGTGACATGCACTTCTGCACTGGGCATCGGTGCAAAGGGCATCCCGAGTTGCAATGTGCACCGCGCATCAATTGCCCAAGTCTAAACTGAACTTGCTCAGAAAGGGCAGGGATTTGTGCTGGAATGGAAAGGATTTGCGCCTCGGTCTTTGAGAACCACAGCCTCGCGGATGCCCTGGCAAAAGTAAGCGGCCGTCTGGCAATCTGCCAAACATGATACAACCGGCCGCACTGGGCAAACATTGGCTTGGACGTGCAGCCTTCCCATCCTTGGTGTGGAGAGAGGCCTCGTCCGGGTGCCGATCGCATTGGCCCCGCAGATGAAATGCTGACTTCGTACCCAGGCCTTCGCCTTGCCGCCTAAGCTGAAGCCAAGCCGGAAGGAGGGCCTGACGGAGCGAGGCTCACGGCCCCCAGCTCGGGCGGCTGACGTCCCTGGTTTGGGCATGTAACTGCCCTGTCAGGCCTTTCAACCTTCATCCCTGGAAAGACGTCGACCACCTGTCCAGGTCAAGACGAGCAGCACGGCATGGCACAAGTGTCTGCGGGCCTCGACAAGACTCGCAAGCCCATCCAACTGATCCATACGAAGATGCTTCAGCTCCTAGTCCCCATGAGCATCGAGAAGATAACATCACACATCTCCGATTCATATTGCACAGCTGAAAGCGACGGGGTCTTTGCCCAGGTTTGGCTCTCATGTTTGGCTCTCATGCTCTCATGGCAGCCCCAAGCGGGGTTTCGGGGCGGCTCTGGTTCCGAGGATGGTTCCGGGGATGCATTCTGAGCAAGGCTCCAGGGATGTCAGTTCTGAGCAGGCGAGGAGGAGGGTTCCGGGGGTGGCTCTGGGTCGGGGCGACTTCAGCCAATGATCTCCGGTCACTGGGCCCTGGGTGCTGGCACGCTGGTTTCGGTGCCACTTGAACTACAATTGAAAACTCTGCTGGGCCATTTCTCTGGCTTGCGTTAGTTAATCAAAACACGATTTTGTAATTATGCTTGAATTGTAAACTGACAATGCTTCGACGTTTTAAGTGACACGCGCGCGAGGCAGTGGAGTGGGAGTGGCTTGTGAGAGTCCGGCAATCCTGCTGCTGCTCAAGCTCGCACGAAACACTACCAGCTGCTTCCGCTGCCCCCCAAAGCAAAACCGGCGTGTCAGCAACCGGGCGCCTGGGGACCGATTCGCACACCGATTCGCACCGGTTGGCGCAGACCGGTCCCCAGTCACCGGGCCAGGCTTGCACATGGCGGTGCCGGTTGCTAGCCGACTGGGGGTGACAAGCTTCAATCTGCGCACAAAAGCGGCCGCATGCCGTTGGGGATATGAGAGCTTACTTTCTAACAGCCGTCCTCCTGGTTCCTGATGGTGCACATAACCCGGGACTTCATCACGGTCTCTTCCAGTTGGGAGCCAAACCTTGTATGTGCGTCCATGTTGGCAATTTTGAGGCACAGCGTGCAACCTACAGTCAGCCCCGTCGGGCCCTGAGTGATGAGTTCGCGGCATCTGCTGCAGAAGCAGCCAGTCAAGGAGAAGGGTTTGGACCTGACAGGTAGCGATGCACTTCTACCTGCATCAACTCTGACGCTGTTGGACTGACTGTCTAAAAAGTGAGGCTCTGGCAGGCCCAATGGCTACCCCATTGAAACTTTCCTCCTGTCCAATGGCCCCGTGGAAAACTTGGAAATTGTTCCGGCTGTCCTTGTGTAGCACTCCGGCGTAGCCCAACACGCCCATGCCTTAATGCACGCAGTTCTGCTCCCCTGCCGCACGCCCTGCCCTGCATCTGCGGAGCAACATCAAAGCACAAAGCCGCTGCAACTGCTCAGGCACAAGCGTTCCACCACGGCAACCTCCTGTCCGCCTTTCCAAGCTAGGACATGGAAGGAATTCATAGCTTGCACTGCATTCAACGCCATTCAGTGATTCAGAGTTGGCACCTTCAGGTTGCTGAAGGGACACCTGGAATTGGTAGATATCTTGGCAAAGCTAAAGAAAACAAAGAACACACAGACACACAAGAGCACACACACACGCACCCATTCACACAATGAGCGCACCTTGCCCTGAAGGATGATGTGCAAATCGCACTGTTCCTCAAGCATCGCAAATCTTGCATATGCCTTGTGACAGAGGAACCTGAGAGTGTAAACTTGCCATCCGCAGGCTCCTTGCTGCCCGCTTCAACGATCTTGGCGCCATCCGCATATGTTTGCACATTGACCTGACTTGAACTCGCGGCCTGTGCTTCGGCTTCCCCACGCCCACCCCCCACCCTCATCTGCAAACTGTGGAAGAGCTAAGCCGGCGGCCTTGTCAAATAAGCATTGCATCTGCAGGCCACGTCACATATCAAGCTGAATCGCGACGCATCACTAACTCCCAAGCCCGCCTGGTACGGCGTCAGCTTGCGCAGCAGCCAGCAAGATTCGCTGCCTTCGGGCTGGCCAACTCTGCAATAGCCCATTCCAACGCTTGCCGCAAGCCCCGGCATATTGACGCCAAGGTGCTCAATGCCTCATTCACGGCGCTGCTTGCCTGGCCTCTTTCACGCCTCATGCAGTGGCAGGCATGTGGTCTTCAACGTCTCGGCAACATCCGTTCCTCCCCCTATGCCTTTTCACACTTTGAGGCAGCTGCTGGTATTGTTCGGCCAGGAGGGCACGCGTCCTCAAGCCGCTCAAGCCGTAGACTTCAACCTCTCCTGCCACAGAAGCGCACTCAGGGGGTGGGTTGGACACCGGGCGGGAAGGGGGAGCGTTGGCTCGCACGGGTGGGGGCAGTCGCCTGTCAGCGTTAGTGCGAAGGGGGGCCACTACAGTTTACCTAGACCGCACTGTCGTCCGTATTGGGTAGATCCGGGTGGTGGGGGTTTTGGTCACTGCCCTCTTGCATGGCGCACATGCATTTCCCTAACGGCGAGTGCAAAGCACACAAACACATCCGAGTCACAACATGGGTCAGTCCTTTTGCTTGAACGGTGGTGTCCTGCGCGCCCGACATGAGGATGACATTCTCCCCAAATGCAGCACCTGATTGGTCAATTGGGCTCAAAACGGATCAATAGTAGCGTGCATCTGTGTGATCATTCCAGGCCTTGAGATATTTCTGACTTGACTTCCCCATTCCTGCGTTGCACTTGCCATCCTTTTGCATTTGCTGCCCATCCCATTTCAGGCCCGAATGCCTGCCTTTCCCTCACACGCATAATGATGCAAATGCCACGCTAGCATAAACAACCTAGCCATTCCCAGGCCTCAGAATCACGAGAGAGCCTTTGTAGACGATGAAGAAATGCGTGCCTGAAGTCGGGATTGTGTTGTCCTGTGGGGAAAAAACATGATTGTGATCTTTGTAATTGCCGCCTCGTGCACTTCCTTGCCGCGTCACCTGCGTGCCATCTGGAAATTTGAATACCTGGCGGGCAGTGTATGAACCATACATCACATGCTGTCAAGGGGGTTGCTGGCCAAGCAGTAAACAACATTGGCGACCCCCATGCAGCTCCAATTGCCACCTCCATGGCATTGATCAGCTTATCAATCGTCTCTTGGTCCACATCCTTAAAGTAAAGGAGCTTCCTGCGAGGGCCGCGGAGAACCCCTACCCAGGTGTCTCGTATGCGTCAAATGTGCATTTTGGATCCAAATGCATGCGCGCTCTCCGCAAGGCTACGTGCACCAGGGCACTGAGGCCCAGCTTGTCCAATTCGCTTGCAATAACATAAATTCTTAAAAAGTTGAGGCATTGGCCGATGGTCCGATGGATGGTTCTACGTGCAGTATGCCGGAATGGCGAGTTTGTAAATTTGTCAGCATCCAGTGCGTGTCAGGAGAAAACCTCGTGCAGTGCGTCCCTGGAGCATCGGAAGGGCACACGTGACACGTCCGGCCCGCTAAGGCCGCCTGACATCAGGCCGTGCTTTCGACCTTGCAGGACCGCGCCCGTACGGTATTGCACCGCCTGCCGTGCAAGCTTCGTGCGATTTGCAGAAAGCATGTTCATGCCGTATCCCGCCTGCGTAGTTCAGGGATCTCATTGCAAAGTTGCATCTCTTTCTCCGGGAGGTCCCCCTTCTTGTAGCGCTTCACAACATCTTGCCGCAACCAGTCTGCCAGGCGAGACTCCTTCGCATCTGGCATACCTGCAGCACGTGCAAGCACCATTGCTGACAGGAATGCCTTGGTCTAAAGAACCAATGAAGGCGAGTGGCTTTTCTTTTTCCTTGGAAGACGGCCGTGATCTTCTGACCATCTTTTCACCGCGTCGAACAGCAACATCCTCTGGGGGTCCTCAGCCCTCATAGACCCCTCAGCTTCAGCAGCCTCCCTTGGCTCCACATACATTGCACCCACCGCACCCGCCGGATTCTCCACCTGGTCTTGCTTCTGAATCTCCTTCCGTTGGGCCGTAGCCACCGCGTGATATGAGTAGACGCTTCCTGGTTGCAAAATGTTTAAGCTCAACGCCCGAGTCCTGCCCATGCTGAACGTCACCAGCCGGGTCGTTCAATTGATCTGCCACGTGGATGTGACTCAGCCTATCTCGCAGTGCTGGTGGCAGTAGGAGCCGAGCCTGGCAGTGCATCTCAGAAGCCACTTTCAACCAACCTCCGGCTCTCACACCACTCCTCACCCTGTAGGAATCAATCTCTCAAGGTCAAACTCCATCTCAGGTCAAAGGCCGATGTGAGAAATGGTTCCACACTTGCCCCTGGCCTCCGCAGCACCTCAGCATGGAAAGCCACATGCTCAAATATTGACAGCTGGGCGCTCGCCTGTGAGCAATGAGCAACATGTTCCAAGAGCCTCGTGCCTTCGAGAACGTCCATCCCCTTGGCTGTAAGAAGGTAGATATCGAAGTCACCTCGCAGCGCGGTCCGCGATGTTTGCTATTTGTATCTATTTGTTGTGGGCCACTGCAAACGCCCTCTGCATTCCGCTCCTTCTTTCTGGCACATCACGTCTTTCAAAGCTTGTGCAAGAAGTGTGCAAAAGCACGCTAGTTTTGGCCAGGGATCAGAACGGCAACCCAGGATTCAAGTCTTGCATCATCGTTTCTCTGGCGCTGCCCATTTGGATACATGCAGCCATGGCCTGAGGGGGGAGCCAAGAACCTGCAGCCCAGGAGCGCTGACGAAACCATGGCCCCACGGAGACAGTCCGTCGGCGAATGTAGCCTTCACCTCAGACCCAAACTTTGAAAAATGGCACCGTTACCAGTGACGGCCTAGTGAGCCTAGTGAGCCTTCGAGGGTCTACAGCAAATCGCTGCATGTCGGTCACTTTTTGCACAAGTTCGCTCCACTAGATCAAAGGGCACAAGTGTCTCCGAGGGGCCTGTCAGAAGTGGGATCATCTGCCGATAGAATTCCTTTGTCTCCTTCTTTGTAGGGATGCCCAGGCTCTTGCCTCAGCGATTCGCTGCCATGCGCATGCACGTGCTATCCTAGCCGCTAGCCATCCAAGCTCTCTCAGGCCCTCAGGCTTGGACATCTTGAAGCAAAGGCGAGTGATTTCGTCGACAGCTTGCTGGACGTTGCGCCTGCCAAGAGGTGAATTAGAGCAATTGCGGCCGTTGTTTCGGTATTCAAACCGCGCGAGGAACAAGTAAGTTGGATCGGCCTGGCAACTTCTTCTTCCATGGTCCTTGGCTTCCTGCCACGATATCAAGGAGATTGGTCAGCGTCCTCAGAAGCACACAAAGAAAACAGCACATGATGAAACACCAAGTATACATGTCCATGTTTCTTGAACCGCATGTGCTCAGGGCCCTGGCGTCCGAATCCCATGATCCTCGCACGCTTGAAGGGCCTCCAGGAGGAGGGAGGCAGGGATAGTGATGTCGGCCAGATTGTCCTGCAGAAACGGCTATGAGTTGCAAATGAGTGCAAGCATCATCCACTGATACCATTGCAGCCTTTTTGCTTCACTTGGAAGCGACGCTTGCAAACTTATAAATCTACGGCGCACTTGCGAGGTAGTAAAGAAGTTAAGAATGCAATTTCGCAACAGATTAGCATGGCTTGAAAGCCCACCATGGAAAACCCAATGCTCGCGCAACGCGGTCAAACCATAGCTTTCAAAGCCAACCCGTGAACTGGGACACCCCAATCATGCTCCACGGTTGTGTGGTCCAATAGTGTCACTCCTTGTGACACATCTGCGGATCAGAAGTTTGCTGAGTGTCGGCCAAAGAGCCGCACAAGCTTTGCCTTGCTCAGGCATGTCACCTTGCAGTGTAGAGTTGCCATTGCACCTTCTACCTGTTGAATTGCATTCGGGACATGTTTGTGCAACGGTGGTGCGAAGGCTTCCTCACTCAATGGCTAACAAGGGCAATGTCCAAAACATGTTTATTTGATTTGATGGATCGGATATGACTGAAACTGCAACCGCAAGCTGTGCCAGTGGATCGCCTTTCCGAATTAACAAGCTTGGCACATGGTTCATGAACCAATGGCTCCTGAGACTTGCAAGCGTCGCAGCTTCCACAGCATTGCCCAAACCTTAGATGTGCTTGCCATCCTTCGCATCCATGAGCTAGGCCCAGGCGTAACTGGCAGCCTATCCCCTCACATGCTGATGCCTCTGGAGTGCGCAACGACTTCCGAATGCAGTGAGCCAAGCTAACGAAGTCAAGTCTCGGTGGGTCCTGCCATGAATCGGATGAATGGCTACAGCGGATTAAAGTTCTCAAATGGCGCTCCGGACCTCCTCTCCGAAGTACTCCAGCATGGTTTTCCAAAGGCACCGCCCATTGTACAGTAGGTGGCGCATGGCTTCTGTGGACTTTTTCTCCCACTCCTTTCTGCGGCAATCGGTAAACCTCCCTGTGAATGACAGTACTTGCCGGGATAAGAAACCCTCACATGACGCACCAATGTGTCCTCCACTGCAGAGCTGCGTTCCGGTCGGCGGGCCTAGGAGTGATTTAGCAGTGCCTCAAGCATGGACAGGACAACCTTTCTTTCTGAGCCCTGGTCATTGTATGTTTGCCGAATCAGTTTCCATTTTTTCTCTGACGCATGCCTTCAGCAAGCCCCGTTCCAATGGGTGGGTGAGTGCACCGCGTCTGGCACCCGCGCAGCCAGACATCGCTGGTCTTCACTGGGCGACCTGGCAAAGTCGGCGTCGCTGCCGATGATCTCGCAGCTGGAGCTCTTTCCGTCGCGGCCACCGCGGCCGATTCTTCGCATGGGAAGCACATGGCACTGACTTTGGAAAAAAAGTTGCAACTGCTGCCGCTGAGTCATCAAAGCCTGGTATTAAAATGGTCTACCCAGAACCATGTAACAGCGGCTGCGCCCATTATGATAGAGATTCTCCCTTGCTAACCTTCATCTATCTGGGTTTTGATTGTGGCTAACCTGGCAAGGTTTAAGTATGTGAAAGCAACGCTGCCACCACATGCCAGTCCAAGGTTCTGCTGGAAATATTCTTCAACCTGAGGCAGGTATGGGCAAAGCGGCCAAGCTGCCTTGCGCCCTGAGTAGCGAATCTGCCCTGCGTGACCGTGTAGAATTCAAAGAATATCAGGCCTCCTGCTCCCATGGGTATCCTCATTCCCTGGAATTAATCAGTGAACAACCGAGCAGCAGTAGATGGAGCCCCCAAATGGTATACGCGACGGACGTCCGGAAAGTGCACGCCCAAGCCAAAAGCAACCTGGGCCAACTCGCGCATCATAGACGCATTGGGCAGCGCTCTTATGCATGGAAACGCGTGCTAGAAGCAATCCAGCTCCCATTCTTACCCACATGCGAATGTGTTGCAAGGAACAAGCCAAAACGGCATGCAAAACGAAAGCAGCAACGGCAGGCATGCGGCAGTCGCGACCATAACGCGGGCTCCTGCGAAAAAGATGCAAGACACAATATTGTCCATGTGCATGCGAGTCCCAACCGCACAACACATGCGACGCATTCGGCACTTGCTGAGCCCAGTCCATCAGAAGAGAACTCTTCATGAGCTTTGTCACGCTGGACTCAGTGGCGCGTAGCGCGTGTGCTCTCGCCATTTCTAGTTGGGGAGAAGGTGCAGCTTGCAAGGATTGGCTTCATGTGCCAGAAACGCTCAGAACAAAGTTCACTGGATGTGCTTGGACGTATCCAACAATTTAACCCTCAATGTGTATTTTGTTCATGCCTGTCGCACCTTAGGCCGAGATTCACTGCTGGATTTTGGCATGGTAGATCCCAACCTTGGGCAGGCAAAGCCTTCACAACTCTAGAAAACAAGACTCATCAAACATGACATGTGAAAACCGTCAGCGTAAACCGGCCCGTGTCCTGTGCATTGCCTTGGCCAAGAACTACATACACGTACATTTATAAGTACTTAAAAAGCGACATGTGAGGAAATGGTACAGGGCCCCATGCATGCAAGGACATGCAATCATGAAAACTCCCCCCCCCCCCCCCCTCCTCTTTTATTTCAGAGGCCCAAAAAGCCACTACTAGAGCCTGAGTGGCTGCTTAACTCTCACTTAGCGCCGAGAAGGCGCTTGGTAGGGCTTTGAAAACCAGTTAACCAGTTGCGTCTTGCCATCAAAGCAATCGTTAAGCCGCTAAGCGCTTGCTAAGCAGTTTTGAGGTCCTTTCTAAGCTTTCGGAAAAACTGCACGAACATGTTGTCTCTCGTTGTGCTTCTGGGGACAATGTGACAGGGGCGGCTAGAAGAGGGATGTGTATACATATACATGTATATATGTATATGTATTTGTATAGGATATGTATACATATATAGATATTTTGTATGAATATATATATATATATAAATGCAAATAAATATATATATATATGCATTATATTGTAGATATAACACCATCTATTGGGGGTACCTCCTCATCCCTTGTGAGCTGCGGCCCTGGTGGCGCATGAAACTCGATACGATTGCTTTGCTAGTCAACGGGTTGGTTTGCTTGTTGGGCTCGGACCATGTACAACCAGGAACAAAAAGCTGGACGTTTTGAACAAGTAGCACCTGCTACACAGCTGCTGCATTGCTTGCGTGCTGAAAACACAAAACTGGAACACTTCGAATTATCTTGCCACAGTAAGACACCCAAGAACACGCTGGAAGAACTCATGACCTTGTCTATGCCCAAACAATCCGCCAAGATTAACAGCACAAACTTGCGGCAGCTGGGCGTCAATACCACGTGCAGTTGAGCAGCAGTGATGCCGGATCCGTCCAGCAGTTCCTAGGCACTGTGTTTACACAATCGACAGCGGTGAACTTCAGAGAAACCCATGCTGGTCGCGAGCTCAGTCGGTCGCATGGCTGAGTCTGTGCTAAACATTTCTGCCGTGCTTTTTCTAAATGTTTGAATGGAAACATGCCAAAGGGCTTGCAAAACACAGCCTGCCTGCAGCCTTTCACCCACTTCTTCTGCAGCCTCAGACGTCTCAGTCAAGCGACACTCAACATGGCCACCTAAAGCCGGTTGATTGAAACGTTTCCGACTTTGAGTACTGTTGACCCCATGTAGCGTGGCAGGCAGGCAGGCAGGCAGGAAGGAAGGAAGTCCAAGGCAAGCGTTTTCTGGCAACCCTGTTCGGTGTGGCTATTACAACCTTCTTTCTGCAAAACGGACGTGGCAGGATGTCATGTGTGCAAACAGGGTCGATGAGGAGCATCCAGCCCCCTTCCAAGTAGCCCGGTGCGCGCACTTCATGCTAAGTTTCCGATCGCTACTGCTTCTCGGGTTCCATATTCCCAGCGTCTCAGGTTGCTTCTCCCACTCTCGGCTTTTGAGCTGTCATTGGGACGTCATTCGCACTCAACGAATTGCCCGATACGATCACATGCTAACATTGTTCGGGCCTTAGTCTCCTTGGTCAAGCTGCCTGAGAATCTGAAACCCATAATTTCAAGGAACGTGGAACGTTCTGAACAACACGTCTGCCTGATATGTCTGCTTAGGTAGGTGGTACATAAAGTCAAAGCGTCAGGAGCACTCCATTGGAAAAGGCCATAGATGGCTGACTTATTTCACGCTCTTTCTGAAGAGGCACAGCGCCCTAGCACTTCAAGAAGCAGAATGGCAACGACCCATGCATCACAGAGACACAAATTCAAAACAAACAGCCAAGTAGCATCGCGCCGCTTTACATAAATGATCACTCGCCCACCTCAGTGGACGTGGGCCACCCGAGCACTCTCGTTGCGCAGGCATGTGCTTGCTTCTGGCAGGTTCGGAACGTCCATGCCAAACCGTCTCTGCGTCTCTGTGAGTCAGGCTGCATGCTGGCGCAAGTGCGCGCACGCATTCAGTTGCACATGCATGGGCTTGCTGGATGCAGCCAGCCCTCTGCGTGCAGTACATCCCATGATTGTGATTGCAAACATGCCCATTTTGGTCTGGCCTTGTGACAATGTCCGGGATTTTCGGGCCATCTCCGCTGGGCAGCATGGATTCTTCCAGCAACATGCAGTAGGGGCTAAAGCACTTGGCTATTGCCCGCCACGTTTCAGCTTCACACTGACCAGTGCAAAAGCTGAGGAGGCCACTTACCCGCCGTATTTCTTCCTGGGCCCAATGCCAGCGGTCCGCGAATCTTGAACGATGTGCGGGGGCCCGCATCGTGCAGACCAGGCGCTGCGATTCGATCCAAATCATCTTTTTGTGGAAGGGAACGCTTGAGGAAAAGGTTCGAGCGATAGGCGGACCCAACCGACTCCTGCAATTGGCTGCTCTGGACAGCCATTCCAAACATCACGCAGGCCTTCGGCTGCCGAAGCCGCAAGAATTCATGGATATCCTCCTGCAGGGTGGCAACGTTTGGCCAGGTAGGGTGCAAGCGTCAGCTCCTGGACTGCCCGAGTTTTGATGGCTGTCAACCTCAGGTTTGACATTTGCGCGTGTGGCGCTGTGGGCACGCAACGGCAAACCGAGGCTCGCTCGCCATGATGGGCACTTTTGGGTAATCCTCACGGAAAAAGCCGAGATCTCGATAGCTCGGCCTGTCAAATGCGGAAGCTGCGCTGAAAGAACCAAATCACACCAACGCCATACATGGCATAGCGGGACCCAATGCACGAGAGAGCGACCATTTGCACAACGTGCTGGCCCTGCCTGAATTCCCCACCCCACTCGGACACGCAATGTGCCTTCCGGGGCTCGGTCGGGGTATGAGGATGGACTCCAAGAGTTTACCAACAGCCCTCTTCACTGCTTAGAACTACTCACCCTGCTCTCACTTTATCCAGAACCAACATACCCTCTTGTCATCTCTTATCCGCCTTCTTGTTTGCCCTGCCTCATCAACTGCAAGCAAGCCGAGGCGTCCGTCAGCGTACAGCGGCCTAACGCAAACGCCAATGACTTGCCAATGCAAATTCAAGGGAGCGCACCGAAGCCGTCGCAGCAGGTTGCTGCTATCAATGAGCTTCTCCGGGGTCAAGTAGACCACGTTGTACTTTCCTGTTGAGATTCTTCACAAAAAACGGCAACGTTGGCAAAGAACAAGGCACTCCTTGTATGGCAGCTTCATCCATGTTCCATCTTTCTTGCAAGTCCTGATGGCCTCTAGCAAAATCTCTCTCCGCTCGGCTGCGCCAAAATAATGTCGTGAGTGAGAATTTTGCTTGGGCCTGAAATTCGGGTGCCACTAGCCGCTGGGTGCTGCTAGGGTGATCCAACTGGGGAACCAGAACTATTTGAGTTTTAGCTGCCTGAGCCCACGAGGCTGCACTTGGCACATGCCTGGCCTGAGCCCAGGAAGCATGCCTTCAATTGCAGACCTGCAACTCAGCTGCTTGAACACATGGCTTGCGTAGAGAAAACGATTGCGGCCTGATTCCTGGGCAGCTTTGTTCAGCTGCGACACTTGGTCTTTCATGAGTGCCACAAGGGGGCTCACCTCGGAGACCAATAGCAGTGCTCCGGCTGGCTGGCATGCTGTCTGGCTCAGCCGCGGGCCACGATGACAATCTTTCCAGTCAAGATTGCTGGAAGCAGGAAACAAAGCGACTTCCCGCTGCCGGTGGCTCTGAGGACACAGCAGTCCTCAGCATCTGCACAATTGCAGTTTAAGCATGATGCCAAGCTAAAACTTGCGAGAAAGGGAACACGGTGTGGATATATGCTGCACTGTGAGCCCACCCTTGTCAACCAGCCTGGCTTGGAGAGGGCTTAGAGTCAAGCCCCACTGCTTCATAGCCTTCGCAAACGACCCTTTCTGTGGACTAACATCTTCTGTGCGCTTTGCGCGGGTTGAAGATCCTAGACCCGGCTTCTTTGTGATGCTCGCTTCGCTCGGACTTTGGAAAGAGCCGGAGGCATGCCGCCAATGGCATGCTACACAGTTGCTCAAGTGATGGAAAGGGGCGCCTGGACTCTAGCCTCATGTTGTGGCTCTGGTGGCAAGCATCTATCATTCATCTGTCTGTCCATCTATCTGCCTTTCTATCTGCCTTCCTATCTGCCTTCCTATCTGCCTTCCTATCTGTTCATCTATCCATCCATCCATCCATCCATCCATCCATCCATCCATCCACCCATCCACCCATCCACCCACCCAGCCACCCAGCCACCCAGCCAGCCAAGCCAGCCAGCCAGCCAGCCAGCCAGCCATCCACCCATCCACCCATCCACCCATCCACCCACCCAGCCAGCCAGCCAGCCAGCCAGCCAGCCAGCCATCCATCCATCCATCCATCCATCCATCCATCCATCCATCCATCCATCCATCCATCCGTCCAATCCGCCCACCGGTTTATCGACCCATGCAATTGAAGAAGACACGTGAGAGGCAGGCCCTGCACAATCCTACACCAACCATCACAGAACATCTCGGAAGAATCCCTGCTTCATTTGGGTGAGGCTCCTTGCCAGCCACAATGGCCTCAACCACTGCACGCTGATATGGCTTCAACTTCTGCACCCCGAGCGAGTGGGCAGCCTTTGTCAACATATCCTCCACCTGGTGCGGGATTGCCGCAAAGCTTCAATCTGCCTCACCAAGCTTCAGACATCAAATCTAGCTTGCCAGCCTCAACTGGCTGATGTCGTCTTCGAAGTTGCTGGCGAACCCTGACACGACTACCTCTTGGCCCAATGCAGATTGCCGCGCCCACCAGTCGGAGGCATGCGGTGCCAAAGATTTGCTCTTCGGCCCGCATTGTCAGCGGCGGTGTCTGCAACAGACCGCGTGGCACTGGCTGCGGCAGCTCCACATGCCGAGGAAAGCGCGGCGCGGCGTCCATGGCGGACCCTCCCCTCACACTTGGCAGAGAAAACACGCCTAGACGGTAGAAGCTTCTTCAAACATATTGAAACTGAAGTGGGTATGTGGGTTCTGCCATGTGACACACCAACAAACAGATGAACCATCATATGTCCCAGAATTTGTCTGCCAGGTGTCTGTCATTGAGCCAGGACGGGATCATGCTTGTGCATGTCACTGAGCGCTCTATCACGCCTCAGGGGTCAAATGCACGCTGCACCAGCTGCACTAGTTCTCTCAATATGTTGACCCAAAGCCAGGGTGCATGGGGGCATGGACAGGTGCAGGCACCTCAAAATTCCTTGCGCAAATGCCTGATCCTGGCCGGCACGATTGCAACTGTGCAAATCATGTAGCCAACAAACAAGTGCTTCCCTCTCTCAAAACGCCATGGCCTTTGTTCCTTCTGGCTGCCGGTACTGTTGAAGAACCACTTCTTCACGTGGAGATTCCACCATTTCCTGTAGCACAATCTGCCTCTGTGTGGGCAAGCTGATGCATGCAGCAAATTCCACATCTGCCCGTCCTTCAGCTTCTCTGGCATGCTGGTAATCATCTCCTGCAGTGAGGATAATACAGTCACGGTCGTTCAGGCCAATGGCGGCCGCAACGCGGGACTGGCACTGCACCGTCATGCATTCGCTCGGGCCTGTGTGCGTGGACTTTCTGAGTCCGTCTTTGCATCCGCCTCGGCATGGTCAAGGAGCTCCCCTTTGAGGCCAAGAGACTTTTCAAATTCTGAGGACTCCGCCGGGGCTACGCCCGTCTGCGTAAATGCCGTTGGCAGGCGAGGTCTGGCCTTGGCATGAGTCCGAGCGAACGTCGACTGACCAGGGTACCGTCCTCCGTTCTTTCAACTCGCGTCTCAGGCTGCGATTCCGATGGAAGAGCTGAGCTTCCAGCAGGTCTTTGGTCAGGCTGCTTGTTCAACTCCAGAAGCTCTTCTCGGGTCAAAGACCTCAGTGTCTTTCACATCTCAGGTCTAACGTGAAACTGTCCTGGCCAAACCATGCGGCCAATCGGACAGATTTCTTCCCTCGCCGGAAGTTTCCTGGGGCTACGGCCCATCATCCTCAATGGGCACCTGGCATGGAAGGGGCCGCCTTGCCAATTTTTGCCTATGAGAGCCACGCAAATCAGTAGTAGCTTAGAGCGCCGGTGTCGTCTGCAACGGCTTACTTTTTGCGCCACACATCTCCCCTCAGTTGGGAAGTCTCGCCTTGGAATCCTTGAGGCAGCCGTATCGAAGTCCAAGCCAGAATGCATTCCAACGCCAGCCAGCCAGCCAGCCAGCCATAGCACACAAAGCTCGAGTTATTTGGAGCTTTGTTCAGCAACGCATTGCGCTGCAAACTGTGGCATTCGACAGCCCTGGTGAACATTCCCGGATGATGGCTGATCAGAAGACTTTCTTGGCAGCCTGCAGCCAAGACACAGAAAGCACATGCCAACAAGAGACTGGGAGCCAAACTGTCAAAGAACATGATCAACGCGCCAATGTGCAAGTAAGGAGTAGCACCCAGCCTTTGAGCTATTCTTTCGCTTTTGAGGCTGCTTGCCCTACACGGAAAGGATTCGTGCAGTCAAGCAAATGCCAACTCAAGCCTCCAATAAGCCCAAAGTAACGTGCGGGGTCCAGAAGATTCACCTGCCTCTTCCGTCGCCTTTCTCTTGACTTGGGCCTGGCTGGTGCCCGACTCTTCCACGTCAACCTGTCAGGCTGCCACTGCCAGGGTTCCCCCAATGCAAAAGCCCCCGACACCCATCTCACGAGCATAGGCGCCTTGGCAAAAGAAAAAGCACAGCCTGAAGGTCACACATGGGTTCTGGCCGAAGATGTCATCCAGCAGCGCCATCTCCATGGGGTCTGCGCCATCCTGACTCATGGCACGAGGGCTTCAGGGCTGTTGGGCTGCCACTCTTTTTCCCCAGGTATGCGGACCAAAAAAAAACTAAAGAAGTCCAAACTCGAAGTTGAAAAGGTGTGTGTGTGTGACGCAAAATGCTACGGCAGGGTGCGGGGGCATAGGGTACTGTTGAAGTGCTGGCGCGGAGTGTCACGCAGAATTTCGTCAGGGTGCTTTGAAGGGTGCTGTTGCGGGATGCTGTTTCGCAGTATGTGACGCTGAGTTGGTGCTGGCGAGTGCAGTTCCAGGGTGTGTGTGTGTGTGAGCTGGGAGTTGCTGGGGTGTTGGTTGTTGCGCAGCGTGCTGTTGGAAGATGCTGGTTCAGGGTGTGGGTGTGACCAGGGAAGCGATGAGAGTAAAGCCACGACGACGATCTTGTTCCAATATGTTTTATGACATGTTGTTTTTGCAGGTCTCATTCCGAATTGGGAGGAGACATGCGAATCTTGAAGCACTTTAGGCACTCAATGCCAAACGTTTTGCGCAACCGTTGTAGTTTTGCCGTTGACTTGTGGAGCCCATTTGGGGCCTATCCGGTCGGTTGAGCCTGTTGGGCCCGCGTGCCATGCCCTTGCAGTCCTTCCCGTCCCCCCCTTCACCTAAAGACCAGGTCATTACGTGGACCTAGGTGCGGAGCTGGGAGACGGGCTACCCGCAAGTTGCTCAGGCTCGGTGCCCTTGCCGCAACTCGCACGCTGAAGTTCTGGATGCCTTGTGTTTGCAAGCGTGCTGGGTGTCAGCTGGGCCCAGAAGGGAAGAAGGGAAGGAGCCGGAAGCCACCATGGACTACAATGACATACAATGACTACAGCTACAAACCGTTGAGTCGGTAAGGTTGCATTGGAGGTCTTGGTGGCTGTGACCGCCGTTTCCTGGTTGCAGAGCCTTTCGCAGAGTTTGCTTGACTTGCGGGTGATGAGGAGTGCCATTTTTATCACAGCCAGCCATACCGAAGAGGCTGAGGCGCTTGAGCCATTGCCACACAGAGAAGCGCGCAAACATGGGTCGGCAATTGAACCACCTCTGCCACTGAAATGATCAACCACCTCTTCTGCAGCACAATTTCGCGATTTGCCCAACGCAGTCTCTTGCGAGGGTCTCTTCTTGCATGGGCGCACGCAACATGTTGCAAGTCAAAGACTGGAAGTCGCAAGGAGCCTTGCATTGCAAACAAGGCCTAGCACCATCTATTCCTTCTGATGAACATGTTGAAATGCCATGTTGCTCAGAGTGCTGTTGCGCAGTGTGCCATTTGGAGGGTCCAAAGCAGGGCGTGGGCGCAGCGAACAAAATGCCGCTCCAGTGTTTTTGTCATATCTCGTGCGCTTCTGAGACCTTATTAGCATTCACGCTTGCAGTAGCACCTCCTAGTTGGGCCAAGGCACGGCAAACATATCCTCCGCAGGCACCGACTCAACTGGCACCTGCATTTTCTGGCTTGGTATTGGACACATCGTCAAATCCCGACCTGATCAGGCTCCACACTCTCTGCTGGCGTATCGGAGACGAAGAGGTCCTGATGCGAAATGAAGCAACGCTTTATGATCTGTCTGCGTGCATTTCACTGAGTTTCAAGTCGCCATGCGCCCGGAACGTTCCAAACCTATGCCTCTTGGTTTGTCCCTTTTGTCCTCTTCCCCAGGTGCAGTGGCAATGCTCGCACTGACATTGTCCTCATGGCCAAAGGCAACCAGCCGCCAAGCTGAAACACAAGCTGTGCAGCAGGCTGGGCGCTCACCAAACCAAATCACCAAAGCCGTCTTGTCCTTAGCTTTTTGGCGATCGCGACAGTTGGGACACCTCAGGCACGCACGTCTGCAGGATCCCGCTCGTGAGCCGTCTCCACCAGCACGCGTGCTGCCTACATAGCTTCTGGCGAAAGGTGCAAGGAATAAGCGCGCTACTTCAGCATGCCTCTGCTTCTGACATTGACATCTCGCTCTGGCATTTGCAAGCGTCATGCGCTGAAAGGCTGGCCTTCTCTGCGGCATTGGCGCCACCCTCCCGGAGCTGCGCTGAGGCCAGGCGAACGGCCTCCACAGAGGCCGTTCGGTGCATCACGCTGTCAGTCGACACTCGTCCAAAACATTGCCTCATGAAATGTAATTGTGGAGTTGCATAGCGCCTCAACATCCGAGACGCTGCCATGGATGCCATCGGAAGCCAAGATCAACATCACCTGTTTCCACGACATATTTCCCGACATGTTTTGATGACATGTTTTCATGACATGTTTCCCCAATCGGCGAGAAAGAAACACAATCGCAGCAGCATCGATGTGAGAGCGATAGCATGCGATAGCTGTGGTCCCAAAGCATCTTGCCAGCGACCAGGACGCTTGCAGCCAAGCTGCATCTTCCTGACATGTCTGCAAGACAAAATAACACTAGCAAAGCCAGGCACTAAGGCCTCAGGGTCAATGGCGAATGCCGACAACTCTGGCCTGGCTTGCACGAGCACTCGCCTAAGGCTTACTCTCGTTTGCCTGTATCACGCGGCAGTGTTCTGACAGGTTTCGTGCAAGGCGAAAACATCCACGAGCATGTTGACCGCAAGAGTCAATAATGCAGAACATGAGGGCCCAAGGCCCAAGCACAGCTGTGACGACTTCCGGAGACTTGAAATCCACGTCCTCAAAGGTGGGCACCGGTGAGGCATAGGCAGCGAGCCCCGCTTAGCTCCCCAAGGCGCTGGCTCCGAACGATCGGGTGACCGAAAGGCCAGCTGCCACCTGCCCTCTCGCCTTCAGGATCACCTCAAGCTCCAGTGAGCGCAGTACAAAGTATGCGAAGTGGGTGGATTGTTGGAATTGCTTCCATGTCGCAATGGGCGGCATTTAAACAGCACGAGCACGCCTTCCTGTGATCAAGGAACCTTTGCTCCTGTTGCCTCGACGCTGCACACGCAGCTAGCCGTCCAAGCTCACTACTGTGACACAAAGCATGTGTCATGTGTCACTCACTTCTGCTTGTCCATCAATGGATCTAACGTCTCCGAGTCTTGCAGGCTAATGTGACTCTCCAGTGGATACGGTCTCCGTGGAGTTTGAAGGGGGAACGGGCAGCTCCGTGGCATTGGTGACATTTGCCATTGGAGAGGCTGATGTGGCGTTCGCAGACTCTTCAGTTGTGCTTGCGGCTGGCTGGGGGGTTGTCGGGCTATGTGTGGCTGCTTCTGACGAGTCTGCTTCCAGTGACTCCAAATCATCCATGATTTTGTCTTGCTGAGCCTCAGTCGTTGTGCCTGCAGGGGCATTGGTGACATTTGCCATTGGAGCGGCTGCTGTGGCGCTCGCAGACTCTTCAGTTGTGCTTGCGGCTGGCTGGGGAGTTGTCGGGCTGTGTGTCGCTGCTTGTGACGAGTCTGCTTCCAATGACTCCAAATCATCCATGACTTTGTCTTGCTGAGCCTCAGTCGTTGTGCCTGCAGGGGCATTGGTGACATTTGCCATTGGAGAGGCTGATGTGGCGCTCGCAGACTCTTCAGTTGTGCTTGCGGCTGGCTGGGGAGTTGTCGGGCTGTGTGTGGCTGCTTCTGACGAGTCTACTTCCAGTGACTCCAAATCATCCATGATTTTGTCTTGCTGAGCCTCAGTCGTTGTGCCTGCAGGGGCGGTGACATTTGCCATTGGAGAGGCTGATGTGGCGCTCGCAGACTCTTCAGTTGTGCTTGCAGCTGGCTGGGGAGTTGTCGGGCTGTGTGTCGCTGCTTCTGACGAGTCTGCTTCCAGTGACTCCAAATCATCCATGATTTTGTCTTTCTGAGCCTCAGTCGTTGTGCCTGCAGGGGAATTGGTGACATTTGCCATTGGAGAGGCTGATGTGGCGCTCGCAGACTCTTCAGTTGTGCTTGCGGCTGGCTGGGGAGTTGTCGGGCTGTGTGTCGCTGCTTGTGACGAGTCTGCTTCCAGTGACTCCAAATCATCCATGATTTTGTTTTGCTGAGCCTCAGTCGTTGTGCCTGCAGGGGCATTGGTGACAATTGCCATTGGAGAGGCTGATGTGGCGCTCGCAGACTCTTCAGTTGTGCTTGCGGCTGGCTGGGGAGTTGTCGGGCTGTGTGTGGCTGCTTCTGACGAGTCTACTTCCAGTGACTCCAAATCATCCATGATTTTGTCTTGCTGAGCCTCAGTCGTTGTGCCTGCAGGGGCATTGGTGACAATTGCCATTGGAGAGGCTGATGTGGCGCTCGCAGACTCTTCAGTTGTGCTTGCGGCTGGCTGGGGAGTTGTCGGGCTGTGTGTGGCTGCTTCTGACGAGTCAACTTCCAGTGACTCCAAATCATCCATGATTTTGTCTTGCTGAGCCTCAGTCGTTGTGCCTGCAGGGGCATTGGTGACAATTGCCATTGGAGAGGATGATGTGGCGCTCACAGACTCTTCAGTTGTGCTTGCCTCCTCCGTTGCAGGGCTGCGTTTTGAACAACTCATCAGTGGGTGGAAAGTTGCCCCCATGCAAGTGCAAAGTAAACAGCAAGATCCAAGCCCCCTTTTGTCAATTAGCTAACCCAGTCCTCGGAAGTTGTCAGGCTGACCGACTCTGAAGATGTCTTGGATGTCACGCTCGCCGTCTCCGGCTCCGGCTCGATGGTCTTGGCCAATTGTTTTGGCTCCTCAACCGGAATGTCACCCGCCTCGATGTGCTTATCCCACCACTCGTCAACAACTTCTTCTGAGCCTTCGTAGGCTGGGAATGCCAAGCGCTGGAGCTGCACCGACTTCCACAGGCCAGCGCCGCACTGCTCCTGAAGCTCGGCGAAATCCTGGGTCGCCTCTGCCTTGCGCTCCTTGTCCTCGCCTGGGTCGCACTGAAGGAGAATTGCCTGCCACGCATTCTCCTTGATCTGCTTCACCGAAGGCCTGATCTTTCCATACAGGTTGGCGTCAAAGGAGTAAAGCTCATGAAATGCCCTCGCAACTGCATTGTAGCTTTCGAAGGCAGGCTTCAGGTGCTGATCCTTCTTCAGGAGGTCGGCGGGATCCACATCGGGCCGCTCTTCCGCAGCTTGTTCCACGCTGTCGGTCACTGAGTCTAGCTTGCCGTAGAAGTCCGTAATGGCCTTCTTGATTCTCATCAGAATCTCCAGGCTCTGCTTCTCCTTGTCGTGCGCCTCTTTCACGACTTTGTGCTCGGCAGCTGCCTCGGCAGCCGCTGCGGAGGATGATTCGAGCGCAGCCACAGCTTCTTCCAGCATGGCCTGATGATTGTCCAAGGCAGATTGCGCAGCATGCATTTCGACAGTGGCCTTCTGCTCTTCATTCTCCTTGTTGGTTTTGAACTCACCTGCCTCCTGTGCTTCCGCCTTCTTCTTTTGCATCAATGCCTCGGCTTCCTGCAGACTACGCTTTTTGCTGTCGAGGTTGTCTTGCACGGCCTGCATGGCTTGCTTTATGGCTTCAATCTCTCGGGCCATTTTGACCTCCGCGGCCTCAACGCCAGAGGTGAGGTTCTCCACTTCTGCACTCAACGCGTCCCAGGAAGCCAAGGCCTTCTCGAAGTCCGCGCTGCGCTCCCCGTGAGCTGAGATGGCCTCCTCAAGCGCTTTGAAGGCCTCACGAGCGGCGTGCGCCCGATCGGAGTACTCCGTGTTCTTGCGAGCCACAGCCTCGAGCTGCTGCTGCTTCTTTGCTTCGGCCTCCTCCAAAGCCTTCTGCTTCGCCTCCGCGTCCGCCTTCTGCAGCTCCACTTTCTTCAAGTGCGAAGCTACACTGCCTTTGGCTTTCCGAATGGCAATGTCAACGCTGGCGGGGACTGTCAATGACCTTGTCATTGCCCTGTGTCGTCCCGTGATGATCACTGCCTCTTCCGCGAGCTTGCTTTGCACGACATGATCATCACGGATGGCAGCCACTAGGGGCCACAACGCCAACCACAGCACGAGAGAGCGTGGCGTGGCCATGTAAGGACCTAAGGATTGATGCAGAAATCAAACTAAGAGTACTGTTTGGTTGCTTTGAGCAGCAACCGCTGCAGTTGCCCCAATTCATCCACAGCGCGCGATTCCTCAAGCGAAACCTTGCTGGTGCTCAGTAGTGAAGGAGGGAATGACCCCGATAAACCGTCCCTGTGGCTTCCTTTAAGGGAATCCCTGGGTTCATTCCCGCATTCCCTGCTGAGCACCAACAAGAAACGTGACATTTGGATGTTGAATTCATTACGCTGGGTCCTCTGCCCTATGAGCTCCTCCAAAAGCCGCCACAGTGCCACCCTGGTGCTCCACACGCCTGCGATCTCTCGCTCTCTTTTCGTTTCTTCTCGTTTCTTTGCTGTTTTAGTGTTATCCTGTCTTTACGTGCCTTTTTCTTCTTCATCTTGCTTGCTTGCCATATTGCTTTATTGTCTCACTCTGTTTTTGCGTTCTTGCTCCCTCCCCTCCCTCCCCTTCCCTTCCCTCCTATTCCCTTCCCTCCCCTTCCCTCCTATTCCCTTCCCTCCCCTTCCCTTCCCCTCCCTCCCCTCCCCTCCCTCCCCTCCCTCCCCCCCCTCCCCTCCCTCCCCTCCCTCCCCTACCTCCCTCCCCTCCCTCCCCTCCTCCCCTTCCTCACCTCCCCCTCCTCCCCTTCCTCCCCTTCCTCCCCTTCCTCCCCTTCCTCCTCCTTCCTCCCTTCCCTCCCCTTCCCTCCCCTTCCCTCCCCTTCCCTCCCCTCCCTCCCCTTCCTCTCCTTCCTCCGCTTCCTCCCCTTCCTCCCCTTCCTCCTCCCCTGCCTCCTCCCCTCCTCCTCCCCTTCCTCCTCCCCTTCCTCCTCCCCTCCCTCCCCGTCCTCCCCTGCCTCCCCTTCCTCCCCTTCCTCCCCTACCTCCCCTTCCTCTCCTTCCTCCCCTTCCTCCCCTGCCTCCCTGTCCCTGCCTCCCCTCCCTCCCCTTCCTCCCCTTCCTCCCCTTCCTCCCCTTCCCTCCCCTTCCCTCCCCTTCCTCCCCTTCCTCCCCTTCCTCCCCTTCCTCCCCTTCCTCCCCTTCCTCCCCTTCCTCTCCTTCCTCCCCTGCCTCCGCTGCCTCCCTGCCTCCCTGCCTCCCTGCCTCCCTGCCTCCCTGCCTCCCTGCCTCCCTGCCTCCCTGCCTCCCTCACTCCCTCCCTCCCTCCTCCCTCCCATCCCTACCTGCCTGTGGTTTATGAAAGCAGTTCCAAAGCTCACTAATCCAACTAGCTAGTCCCGAAAGGCTTCAGATTGTGCTTTCCAGTATCTAAGCGCGCCTGCGCTCTGCGGCATTGTCGGGCCTATGGTCCACCGAGAGGCGGACGGCAAAGCCATCCTTTGCGCCGCTCAGCGCGCTGAGTGTGCGTGGCCTGCTCCCACCTTCTTGCCCAGGACTGCCCGACTGTCTCCCACCTCGCACGCACTTCAATCTTGGGCCACAGAAGGGTGGGGGTCAAAAATAGGTACCAAACATGGAACCCTGGTAAATGGAAACAAAAACTAACACCTGCAGTGCCCTGGTTTAATTCTGACCCAGATGTTGACATTGGCAGCCAGCTCGCAGGTGTAAGGCCACGGCGTTTGCGATGATCAGCCGGAGCCTGCCCTCCTCGTCTGGTCCAGCCAGGCAAGCCGCGCAGCAAGTGCTTCCGGAGGTGGCCCAGGCACGGCCTTGGAAGCACGAAGCATGCTTGAAAACAAAAAGCATGCAGCTCCTTCACTGCTTGAGGCTACTGCTTGCACCACCTTCTAGCTTGTTGGCATACCTGAGGTCATTGAAACATATCAGCAGGAATAGGAGGCAACTACATCGGACCAGCATTTCCAGGGCGAGCTGCTGCTGAAAGGTATGCTCCGTGACTTTGAAGCCCGCAAGCAAAGCAGATTTGAGTATCTGCTCGGCATTGGCATCCTAAGCTGTGGGGCTCAATGCCTGAAGGTCATGGGCTATGAGCACAGCTCGCAAGTGACAAGTGTGCCCGACATGTTTTTGGCGCTGAGCTCAGCACGCGCTTGCGCCTGAAGCTTGCTAGGAAGTAATCCGCCCCACAATACATCTACAAGCGGGACGGGAAACACCCTGCACTCCAGCAAACAAGCACCAGGCTGGTCACGAAGTGAGTCCAGGATATTGCGCTCCAAGTTCAGGGCAACCTCACATTGCAGGACAATGAGTGTTTCCAAGTGAGCTTGGCTTGCAGCGACACAGTCGGCTATACTTTCACACTTCTACACAGAAGCCACGCTTCTGCGCCTCTCGCTGAGGTGTTAACAAAGTTGCTGCAGGAAACTCCTGCGTGGCCATCCATCACTGCGAAGAGGACCATGGCCTAGCCGTTAGTCTTGCGAGATCATCGCTTGCGACTATTATCTATTATCTATTCCCATTTAAGCAATGAAAAGCAAACTGGCAAAGGCTGCGAAGCAAGACTGGAAGACTAAGACGACCACGGCAGGCTTTCCTGATGAGCCCAACCTGGGCAAATACAGGCTAAAATGCCGGGCCTGGATTGAACAAATTGTGCCCCCCCCCCCCCCGCCCATGCATCCTGCCCCTCGGCAAGGCTGATGTTACAAGCGCAGCTTTTCCCCGATGGCTTTTTTGGCCCCATGAACTTAAGCGGTGCGCCCTGGCTTTGCTTGGCTGCACCAAAATGCTACAAGGCTGGCATTAAATCCCGTCAGAACTCGCCAGGCTTGGGTCACTCTAAAATGGGTTCTCACACCTGACTGCACTTTGGCGCAGGCTGGAGCCCCTTTGTCGGCTGTTCAGTGCCTCTGCTGGTCATCTTCCTTCTTCACCACCCACCGAGCACGGTCAGTGAATGACACCGGGCCTGACTGCCAGACTCTCAAGGGCGTTCCGTTCCCGGCCGCCAAGGCCTGCCAGGCTCAGCTGGCCTGTCGAACCAAACGCCTGGCCACGCGCCTGGGAAACCGCCGGCTGCAGCAAGGTGCGGCAAAGGAGGCGTTCCAAGCCGCTTGGGAAGCAGCCAGCTGCGTCCAGTCGGCAGGCTGCATCAGACAGTCGATGTAACTTGCCTTCATCTGGGTCTTGGCCTGGCTGAACTCCGGGTGGACGTGAAGGCAGCTGGGATCCGAGACTGGCCAAGCTGGCCATGCCGCAGCCGAGCGCAGCCCATGCTTGAGCGGAGGATGCAGCATCCATCTGAATGGCTTGCAGCCTACAGCTGGCCATCAATCCGAAATCCGCCATCTGCAACAGAAGCCGCAAAGCCCCCCTCCAAGCAGATTTGCGCCGGCAGGCCTCTGCAGCTGAATTGAACGTCAACGCATCTACAAGCTGCCGCTGCTGCAGCACCTGTAGAAGTCGCAACGCCAAATTCCATCGAGAGGTCTTCTCAAAGGTGGCCATGGCAGAGTTGTAGCACACCAGGCTGAGCTGCCTGGAATGGCAATTTACCAGGTGCAAAGCGAAGCGCCACTTCTCCATGCGCTCGCAGGTGCTCAAGAGCGACCCAAGCAACACAACATCTGTACCCAAGCGCAGCTGCTGGGTCTGCTGGAACAGGCTGAGTGCACGCTCAAGTTGTCTTGCTTTAGTGCAGGCAGTAATGGCAGAGCTGAATCCGATCAAGTCAGCTCGCAAATCCCGAACGCGCAGCAGCGAGAGGGCGCCTTGCCAATGAGTTCCCGAGCTGCATGCACCTTACCTCGAGGATGGCCCTCTCCCAGTCCACCATGAACAAAATCATTCGAGAAAGAAGATAGGGCTGAGATTTATTATTATGTTGTTTTTCCGTAAAATGCTGTATTTACAGCATTTTCTCACGAAATGTACGTATTTTACACCAGCCCGCCAACCTCATCAGCATCGGTTTCAACATCCCCCGCATGTCCGGCCAACATCCCCAGCATCACCAGCAAGTCAAGGGCCTTCCTACATCGTCAGCATCATCAGTTCCTCTCCGGCAAGGTAGGTAGGCATTTACGGGGAAGGTCGGGGGCAGCCTTGAAAAAGTGATGATTCAATGAGAATTCAATCTCTGCCAAAAGTCCAAAAAGTAGCGAGGGGTTCGGGGGGGGGGTGCGGCAGCCCCTCATGATGATCGCAAAAGTGATGATTCAATTAGACGCAAAACATCTAAAAAGTAGCGGGCCCAAAGAATCTAAAAAGTAGGTGGGGGTTGGGGGGGGCGGCAGACCCCCCCCATGATAAAAAAAAAAGTGATGATTTAATTAAGGGCAAAGAATCTAAAAAAGTAGCTGTTGCATGATGATCGTGAGTCAATTAGGGGCGCATTTTAATCAAAAGGGGGGTGGCGGGGGGCACCAGAGAGGAACTGGCGATGTTGAGGACGCAGGAAGCAAAAACCAACTGGGAAAGCAGAGGATGCGAAAAGCCAAAGCCAGAAAGCCGCCAAAAGCCACCTGCCGGAGCAGAACCGGTAATGCAGAGGATGCGAAAAGCCAAAGCCGCAAAAGCCGCATGAACCCAATAAAAGGCCGCACGAAATGCAGAGGATGCGAAATGAAATGCCACATAAACCCACGTAAAAGCCACAAAAGCAAACAAAAAAAAAACACAAAAGCCACCCACCCTGAAAAACAACAATATCCTTTGAAAAAGAAACAAAAAACGAAAAGAATCCTTAAAACAATGGCCCTCCAAGAAGATATCACAGCACAAATGAAAGCTCTTCCGAGTCTCTGATGGCCACGTTACAGCTGACGCCATCTCTGCACTGATGCCGCTCAAACAGTGCCAGCGCTCCTTGCCACTGCGAAGTTTTTGCCAATAGCGACATAGCCGAATTCCATGCTGCCACCTGACACAAGTTGCAAAAGGTGGTCTACAAGTGCAGCAGGCTGCACAGCATCAAAGGACAGACGTTGCCTACGTGAGAAAACAATATATTTCTCACTCATGGCGTGGCCCTAGCAACCATACCAAGCAAAATGCTCGGTTCTGCACAACTCATGGGGGTGTCCGGTCTGCCCTAATTTTCACTGTCTAAGCCAGTCGGATGAGAAGCTCGTGGGACCAAGCCAATGAAGACTCTCAATCGAAGCCTCTTTGTTGATGCTCCTGATCGTCCGTGGCACAGCCCATGTTTGCCACATGCGGCCATGAGAACGACGGCGGCGCGGCTAGACCCAGGCTACACTGGAGTCTTTGTACATCTGGAGGGGGCCAAGAGTACTGCAAGCCATGACACTGACCGCACGGGGTGCGCTGACACCAAGTCAGGCAAGCAACAGCTGTACCTGTCTCACTTGGGACGCCGACGAGCCGACTTCTCGAGGGGCACCCTGCAAAAGGCCATCCTCCATGAGAGCCTGCCGAAAGCAGAGCAACCCGTGCGCCCTGAATCCACCAGGCCCAGAAACACGGGAATGAAGCAGCCCTTTCATGCACCACCCAATTCCAGTGGCAAGTTATGATAATCTTGGCCCGCACCGCATGAGATCGCAGCCACCCCCACACCTTGACAGCGAAACACCATAGCAAAAAATCACACGGCCTTCTTGTGGCCCTTCTCCTGAAACACGCCTGCCCATCGCAATGGCATCGCGTGGCTTTTTGCCGAAGCGAACCTGACCTGTCTGAAGGCCCTGCAGAAGCAATTGCCGCAGCTTTGCCTCTCTGGCAGACAGCGCTGCTCCTTGCAAGAGCCCTTGCGGACCCCTGGCGCGGGGCACCTGCGCCCTTGCAACGCCAACCGTCCTGCGGCGATGGCCAGACCATCCTGAAGAACCTTGGCAAAACCCTGCACCCGGACGTTGCCAGCACATGGCTTCCTGAGATGCTCAAGAAGGACTGAAGGCATCCGACAAATGCAGCACCTCTTCTAGCATGAAAGTTAAAGCCGAAAGTCCCATCCTCTTGCGTGGTCATCTCATATGAGACCAGCGCCTCGGCTAGTCCAACTGTTTGACCCAACCTCCAACAAGCCTTCTGAGAGCTAGACACCAGGAGCAAGCGCAGCATAGTTGTCACTGTCAGGACCTTCGAAAAAAGTTGGGCACGACTGACCCTGCATTGCCATCCAATCCCTCTTAACCAACATGCAAATTTGCATGCAACGGCTGGCTGGCGATTGCTGGGACACAGGCCATCTTCAATCTGGTTTCTATGCACAAAGATCTCCTGCGACATGTGACTCGAGAAAGGCTAAAGCGGCTAAAGTGCAAATCTGTGCGCAGTGGTTGGCTGGCACTCTCATGGGAAGCCGGCACACAGCCGGCTCTTGCCTCGGTCTCCAGCGAGCGGGCCTCCAGCGGCCTCAGCAACATGCAATACCCACATGCAGTACTCATGGCTAGGATATAGTTTCTCCAGTGCCGTCTGATGGCCCGACACACAGCCCGATAGCGTACCGGTGGCCTCATGTGCTGGCTGTGCTTCCTGCAGGATCTTGCCAAAGCCCTTCTCTTTGTCGAACCACCTGCAACACTGGAGACCAAAGTGCTGTACGTTGCACGGTATCCGGTAGCCTGGCCTGATTCTTCCTTCCAACCGCTTCTTCGACTTGAACTGTAGGTTCAAAACGGCCCTCGGCTTACGAGCCCGAGCCAGAGGGCCGAAGACTGTGCGCTTGCAACACACAAGTCTCCGGCTTCAAGTCAGGCGCACGCACTACGCGAGGAGCCGGCCTCAAGTCACGGCCCTAAACTTGGCCGAGTGGTATGCCTGCTATACCAGACACGTGGCATCGAGTCTCGCTGGATGTCAGCGACTTGAAGCTGTGATGATGCTTGCTACATGATGCTACTTTGAGTGGGGCCTTACTTGAAAGAACACCTCACGGCCACGATGTCGGGCTGCCGGAGTCACTCGTGGCATAGGCAGTGCAACATAGGCATAGGCACGTAAACCCTGCAGACACTACCACCTCCGAAGCCCACTTCTGTCCAACAAGGCCTTTGTTACTCTCCAAGGGCCCTTGCAGCCAAAACCCTTAAACTACCGACATGAACAGGCGCTGGCAATTCGCGTTCTGCGCAAGCACCTGCCCTTGCAGGCGCTGTAAATCTTACAAGTTCTTAAACGCGCGCGAAGAAACAGCACGCAAACGCAGATGCAAACGCAGATGCAAACACAAATGCAAACGCAAAGGAACGGGTGCACCCGCGCACAAACAAACAAACAAACAAACAATCAAGCAAACGAACAAACAAACAAACGAAGGAACAAACGAACGAAGGAACAAACGAACAAACACAAACGCAAACACAAACACGGAGCGCGCGAGCGTGACATGCTTGCACGTCGTTTCACATGCCAGTGACGCCGTTTGGGCTACATGATGCTCAAGGTACATAAGTGTGGGGCGTCGGGCTATCAGTTCGGCTGTCTTTTTCTTGAAGCGGGCGGGATTCGGGATTTTTCCCCCCTGCTCGCGCCCCGGCTGAAAGGGTCGAGCGGGGGATTCAGCAAGTATCAACGGTTGAAGGTGTTTCTTGGTCGAGGCAGCAGTGAGTACATACGGTGCGGTGCGTCGCCAGGCAGATGGTCGTTTGTCTTGCTCCGGGGCTGTTGCCTTTTCCTGGGCTGGCAGCGTCACCAACAACAGTTTTTTGCTGATCCATCCAAGCTGGCGTGCTGCGCAGCATGTGGAGCAAACTAGAAACTAGCCTCAGTCGCTTGGCTGGAGCTTGGTCAGGAATTCGGATGTGCGCAGTGATCGCGTTTGGCTGACATTGAATTCGGGTGGGCTTCGGGTTGGTTTAGGGAGCTACTTCCAGCCAGTTTGGCTGAATCAGGTGAAAAGCGGGTCCAGGTGATGCTGGGGATGTTCCGCCTAACCAAGCGACTGAACCAACCAATCAACCAAGCAACCAACCAGGCAGCCAGCCAATCCAGCAGTCCAAACCAACTCTTAAAGACATAAGTTACAAAAGCCCAACCAACTAAGAAAACACCAGGCACATGTCAGCAACCATGGTTGGCCCCTTCCACATTGAAGAGAACACATGAAACAAAGGCCATAAACAAAGGCCATGCTTCGTGCCGCGCTGCTTGTGTGGAATGTGTTCTGTTCGGCTGGGTCATCTTGTTTTAGTAAATACAAATCGTTTGCCACCATCGCTTGGGGCACTCTCCCTCTCTCTGTCTCTCGGTCTCTCGGTCTCTCGCTCTCTCTCTCTCTCTCTTACCGTTTGGAGCATTGGTTTGCCTCTCAACGAAAATGAACATGCTTATACATGAACTTGCCAAGTCTGCACACAGCAAATCCTCAAGGCTGCCGCTTCGGTGCAGCCTCGGTGCAGCGGCAAGCCCTCAAATTGACTCGACATGCCTTCTGCTCCAGCTATCTGCGGATCCAAGCTGTTCCAGGCTTAGTTATGTTACCAGGCTTTACTGACCGCCCAAGCACCGCGATGCTTGGAAAGCCGGAACCGCAAAGGCTAGGCCCGCGGCCATCACTCTGCGGACTTGCAAGCCATGCTGGGTCAACCGGATCAATCTACATTGCGCACGCAGCCTTTCGAATCAAGTACTGCCGCAGCGCAACAGCAAACCACTCAACACATCCACCGGCATGTCCAAAACTCCTTGACAACTCAAGCATCGGAAGCCTAAAACACCTTTGTATGCAAGCACTAGGAACAGCTCCACTTCTGGCTGTAAAAAGATTGTGTTTGAGCCTTAGTTGCTGCTTTCCAAGCACTTTGCGTGAAAGTCGGAGCTGCAAAGTAACATGAGTCATAATCAAAACCCGGCATCAAAATGGTCTACCCAGAACCATGTAAAGAATTAAGAAGGCGGCCGCAACTATTTCTGGGTGGGATTGTCCCTTACTAACCTTCATCTACCCGGGTTTTGATTGTGGCTCACATGATTCCAGCCAAATCACGGCCAACGCTCTGGGCTAGAGTCAACAATGCCATGCGGGTCACGAATCCACCCAACTCTCACCAAATGGAGGCCCCCTCCCTTGCTTGCATGTTAAGGGGGGGGGATGCTAACCATGAGATGGCCGTAGCCTGGGCATCGAAACTGTAAGAACCATGGCAGCACCACGTGTGCTTTCTCGAAAGCTGTTGGGACCTGACATTGGGCAGCAGGCTCGAGTTAGACCCCGAAGATGGGTCAAGCCAAGGCATCACAGCTCTGGGAGCGTTGCCCGCGCACGGGACGGTCCTGCCAAGCGCCAATCGTGCATGTCTTTGCCACTGCATGCCCATCTGCCCAATTTGCCCAAGGACCCAAGGGCACGCACCAAGCAGGCCAGGACGGCGTAAATTTGGAGGACTCGCGTCCTCAGCTGAATCCTCAGACCTGGGAATTTCGAGATATTGGCTCATCTTGCGGCTGTGGCTTCAATGGGTGCCGGGCTCCGAAACTTCGTCTGCAAAACTCACACCTCCGTGATGGTCTTCCTCCTCTTCTTCCTTCACCTTAGAAAGAACTGGCCGAGTCCTCCAAGCTGTTTGTTGAGCTGATCAAGGCAAGGCTCCTTTTCAGCGACAAACCTCGTAGGCACTCGTTTTCGAACAGTAGAACTCGCCTGGCAGCGAAATCTTTGCTTCCGCACTGGACAGTGGGAAAGTGTGTTAAAACTATGTCCACCGCCGGCTGTGGAAAAGGCTGTTTAGCAGCCCACCACGTGCCTGACCAACTCCTTCCCCCTCGTGCATCTCATTGACGCTGTCATTGCCCCGGAAGCGCACCTTAGCAGCCACAGGAACAAATCTACCAAGCGGGTAAGGCGTCAATGGCTGAAATGACACTCGTCAAAAGAGTGTGTGTGTGTGCGCGCGTGTTCGTCTGCGCGTGCGTGTGCGTGTGCGTCTCCGTCTACGCGTGCAAGTAGGTGTCCATTTCCGCGTGCACGTGCGCGCGCGTGAGTGTGTGTGTGTGTGTGTGTGTGTGTGTGTGTGTGTGTGTGTGTGTGTGTGTGTGTGTGTGTGTGTGTGTGTGTGTGTGTGTGTGTGTGTGTGTGTGTGTGTGTGTGTGTGTGTGTGTGTGTGTGTGTGTGTGTGTGTGTGTGTGTGGTGTGTGTGTGTGTGTGTGTGTGTGTGTGTGTGTGTGTGTGTGTGTGTGTGTGTGTGTGTGTGTGTGTGTGTGTGTGTGTGTGTGTGTGTGTGTGTGTGTGTGTGTGTGTGTGTGTGTGTGTGTGTGTGTGTGTGTGTGTGTGTGTGTGTGTGTGTGTGTGTGTGTGTGTGTGTGTGTGTGTGTGTGTGTGTGTGTGTGTGTGTGTGTGTGTGTGTGTGTGTGTGTGTGTGTGTGTGTGTGTGTGTGTGTGTGTGTGTGTGTGTGTGTGTGTGTGTGTGTGTGTGTGTGTGTGTTGTGTGGTGTGTGTGGTGTGTGTGGTGTGTGTGTGGTGTGTGTGGTGTGTGTGGTGTGTGTGTGGTGTGTGTGGTGTGTGTTGTGTGTGTGTGTGTGTGTGTGTGTGTGTGTGTGTGTGTGTGTGTGTGTGTGTGTGTGTGTGTGTGTGTGTGTGTGTGTGTGTGTGTGTGTGTGTGTGTGTGTGTGTGTGTGTGTGTGTGTGTGTGTG